TAGCTGGGCTTACACGTGCCCGCCACCACACCCAGCTAATTTTTTTGTATTTTTAATAGAGATGGTGTTTCACCATATTGGCCAGGCTGGTCTCGAACTCTTGACCTCAGGTGATCCACCCGACTTGGCCTCCCAAAGTGCTGGGATTATAGGCATGAGCCACTGCGCCCGGCCAGGCCTGATTATCTTTTTGGAAACTGCACAGTCTTTTACCGTTTGTCTAATAATAGTAGCTAACGTAGTCCTGGTGAGGTGGCTTACGCCTGTAATCCCAGCATTTTGGGAGGCCAAGGTGGGAGAATTGCTTGAGTCCAGGAATTTGAGCATCATGGGCAACATAGCAAGACCCTGTGTCTACAAAAAAATTTAAAAATTAGCCAGGTGTGGTGGTGAGTGCCTATAGTCCTAGCTACTTGGGAAGCTGAGGCAGGAAGATCACTGGAGCCCAGGAGTTCCAGACTGCAATGAGCTATGATCATGCCACTACACTCCACTCTGGACGACAGTGAGACTCTGTCTCAAGAAGAAAAAAAAGCTAATGTTTATGAAGTGCTTGCTGGGTGACAGACACTGTGCTGGGGCTCTAATTTAGATTTTCTCATTTAATCCTCACCGGTCCTGAAAGTGGGTACAAAAATTGTTACAGATGATGAAACTTAGGCCCAGCAAGTGTAAGTAACTTGTCCAAGGTTAAACAGCTAGCTAGTAAATAGAGTTGAGATTTGAACCTAGAGCCCACTACATTGTGCTGACCACATTGCACAGCACAAAGACAATATTATGCGTCTAGGAAGCTTCTTGTAAATGAAGTGGTTGTGGTTCTGATGACAGTTCAGTAGAGACAGGTAGAGAAACCGATCTCAAATACCAGATAACTTCCCATTCGTTTTACTTCTCTGATTTCTGTGAGCCATCCACATATTGTTATTAATGCTTACAAAAACCAGGATATGCTGTGCTTTTCCAGAGCAGCAGATAGGTGGTCACAGCTTTTTTCGTGGATTCAAATAGAGAATGCAAAAATGAACTGTGACCCATCATTGAGGAGGATATAGTTCACTGCACATAGGACGGAAGTTGCATGTGTCTTCTACACCAAGGGAGGTGTGCAAAAAACTGGGGAGAGGAGAGGTGAGGAGCAGATGAAATTGGCCCTCTAGGCATAGTATTTCCAGAACTTCTGAAGTGAAGTATTGAATGTCCTCCTTGCTCTGTGGTACAAGCTTTGGAAGGAACCTAACTAGAGACTAAGGAATGAACTTTCCTTTCATTCTTGCACTTCAGAAGGATTATTAATCTCATGATGCTTATTTTTCAGACCCCCTACTGCTGAGGAGTAACTGCTAACTATACTAGGGAAATCCTGGCCGGGCGCAGTGGCTCACAGCTGTAATCCCAGCACTTTGGGAGGCCGCGGTGGGTGGATCACTTGAGGTCAGGAGTTCGAGATCAGCCTGGCCAACATGGTGTAACCCTGTCTCTACTGAAAAGACAAAAAATTATCTGGGCGTGTTGACAGGTGCCTGTAATCCCAGCTGCTGGGAAGGCTGAGGCAGGAGAATTGCTTGAACCTGGGAGGCAGAGGTCGCAGTGAGCCGAGATCACACCCTTGCACCCCAGCATGGGCAACAAGAGGGAAACTGTCTCAAAAAAAAAAAAAAAAAAAAAAAGGGGAAATCCTGGAGGACCCTGTCTTTTTGTTTTTGTTTTTGTTTTAAGACAGGGTTTCGCTCTGTCACCCAGGCTGGAGTGCAATGGCATGATCTTGGCTCACTGCTATCTCCCCTTCCCAGGCTCAAGCGATCCTCCTGCCTCAGTCTTCCAAGTAGCTGGGACTGCAGGTGCTCACCACCATGCCTGGCTAACCTGGGGTCTTTTCACTGTAAAGACTCCGTTTTTTCATTGATGCATGGCAGGTTTAGGTGTGCTACTTAATTTAGTGCAAGCTTGTCCAACCCACCCAGGACAACTTTGAATCTGGCCCAATGCCAATTTGTAAACTTTCTTAAAACATAACATGGAGATTTTTTTGTGATTTTTTTTTTTTTTTTTTTTTTTAAAGCTCATCAGCTATCGTTAGTGTATTTTATGTGTGGCCCAAGACAATTCTTCTTCCAGTGTGGCCCAGGGAAGCCAAAAGATTGGATACCCCTATTTAGACTAAAGATGAGATATTCTATATGGGAGATGAGTAAGTCCTAAAAACTTTCTCCCTTAAATCAACAAAATGCAAATTGCTTTTATTTTGTAGAGATAGGGTCTTGCTATGGTACATAGGCTAGACTTGCACTTTTGGGCTCAAGTAATCTTCCTGCCTCATCCTCCTTGAGCAGCCAAGACTACAGGCAGGAACCACCATGCTCAGCTAACTTTTTTATTTTTTGTGGAGACAGAACCTTGCTGCGTTTCCCAGGCTGGTCTTGATCTCCTGACCTCAAGCGATCCTCCTGCTTCGGCCTCCTGAAGCACTGAGATTACAGGCATGAGCCACCATGCTTGGCCTATTTTTATTTTTAAAATTTCAGTTAAAATTGATTAAGATACAGACAATTCGCACATACTATGCAGAGTTTGTATTTCATGCTCAGAATTATGCTATATTCACATTTATACTAGTGGTGTCTAATTTGTAGTAATGTAGCATGTTTATGAATGTGACTCTTGCAGACTTTGGCCAGTGGGCATATATATATATTCTATTTTTTTTGAGACAGGGTCATGCTCTGTCACCCAGGCTGGAGTACAGTGGCATGATCATGATCATGGTTCACTGCAGCCTCGACCTCCTGGGCTCAAGTGATCCTTCTTCCTTACCCTCTCCAGTAAGCTAGGACCACAGGTGTGCCCCACCACATCCTGCTACTTTTTTTTTTTTCAAGATGAAGTCTCGCTCTTGTTCCCCAGGCTAGAGTGCAGTGGCACGATCTCCACTCACTGCAACCTCCGTCTCCTGGGTCCAAGCAATTCTCTTGTCTCAGCCTCCCGAGCCTCTGGGATTACAGGTGCCCGCCACCACGCCTAGCTAATTTTTGTGTTTTTAGTAGAGACAGGATTTCACCATGTTGGCCAGGCTGGTCTCGAACTCCTGACCTCAGGTGATCTGCCAGCTTTGACCTCCCAAAGTGCTGGGATTACAGGTGTGAGCCACCACGCCCACACACCCTGCTACTTTTAAAATGTTTTGTAGAGACCGGTCTCACCATGTTATCCAGCTTGGTCTCAAACTCATAGCCTCAAACAGTCCTCCTGCTTTGGCTTCCAAAGTATTGGGATTATAGGTGTGAGCCAGTATGCCAGGCCTATCATATATGTATTTAACCAGTGTATTCATTCTGTTGCTTTTGAAATGGAGTTTCACTCTTGTCGCCCAGGCTGGAGTGCAGTGGTGCAATTTCGGCTCACTGCAACCTCTGCCTTGCGGGTTCAAGTAATTCTTCTTCCTTAGCCTCCTGACTAGCTGGGATTACAGGCGCCCGCCACCACCCAGCTAATTTTTGTAGTTTTAGTAGAGACAGGGTTTTACCATGTTGGTCAGGCTGGTATCGAACTCCTGACCTCAGGTGATCCACCCACCTCGGCCTCACAAAGTGCTGGGATTACAGGCATGAGCCACCGCACCTGGCCTGAATTCTTCTCTTTTTTAAAATGTAATAACATAATTCAGGAGTTGCTTTTTCTGTATCAAGATAGATTACGTTTCTCACATACCAAGTTGGTATGCACTAGGATATCACAAGAATCCGATTGATACGTTAGACTTGAGCAACAATTCTGGCTTCTGTTTACTTTCTTTCCTTTCCTCTATCAAAGTTAAATTCATTCTGATCAAGGGCTTCTCATCATTATTAGTAGTATTCAGAAAGGGTGAAAAACCTTTTTTTTTTTTTTTTTTGAGACGGAGTCTCGCTCCGCTGCCCAGGCTGGAGTGCAGTGGCCAGATCTCAGCTCACTGCAAGCTCTGCCTCCCGGGTTTACGCCATTCTCCTACCTCAGCCTCCCGAGTAGCATGTGCCACCTCGCCCGGCTAGTTTTTTGTATTTTTTAGTAGAGACAGGGCTTCACTGTGTTAGCCAGGATGGTCTCCATCTCCTGACCTCGGCCTCCCAAAGTGCTGGGATTACAGGCTTGAGCCACCGCTTCCGGCCTGGGTGAAAAACTTTTTAACCATACCTCAATGAGCCATTGCACTTTACAAATATAAGTATCTTGCTATTTTCTCTGTGACCCTTTCTTTATATTTAAGTCACAAAACTAAAATATTAGGAAATAACCATAATAGACATAACAGAATAATATTTTCTGGGACACCCTCATATTTAATCAATTTTTCACTGCTGACATTTTTCTGACCCATGTTCTTGGGGAGCATAAAGAGTAGAATTATTGCTGGTTGATTTGAGGTTTGCCATTATGATCACCTTTCTGAAATGTATTCTCCTTTTCAAATCCCTTTACTAATGTAACTACTATCTTGAGATGTCTAGGGCTATGGATAGGATAATCAGAAATTATGTTTAGCTCAAGTTTAATAATGAAACAAAGAGTGTTTATCAAGTATGCTTTTCTCTCAAAAAGATGGCTTTGAGAACCTTTTGTGGGCCTGGGAGGGAGACTTTACCTTGAGGATAAAAACAAAAGGATGGAGAATGTTAAGTGTTACAGTAGAGGGCTAATATCTAATATAGAAGGGTAACCTGGGCTGAGTGGAGCTTACACAGAGGGAAAACTCCAGGCTTGTATCTTAGTTTTTCTTGCTAACTCGTTTTGTTTTTTAATCACCAAAGCTGGCTTTAAAAGACTATTTTCTTAGGGTCATTGCTCAGCCTTGGGGCGTATTTTCTCCTTCTCTTTTCTTAGCTTGTACTTTCCCTCACGAAGTACTTAGGTAGGAGAAGGGTAAGTAGGTGGAGGGGAGGGGTCATTCCCCCTGGAAGATTCCAGGTGACATAACCTTGTTTAACCGCCAGTATTTTTTTCCCCCTCTCTCTCCCCTCCTGCAGAAATGGAGGCAAACGACCATTTTAACTTTACTGGCCTTCCCCCTGCACCTGCTGCCTCAGGACTGAAACCCTCTCCTTCCTCAGGGGAGGGCCTCTACACTAACGGGTCTCCCATGAACTTCCCCCAGCAAGGGAAAAGTGAGTGTGAGGGCTGCTTGGCCTGGGGAGGGAATGGGCATCAACCCTTAAGGGCGGATTCATGGGGGATTATTTTGCTTCACTTTGGTCTAGCTGCTGGAGGGAAATCAACTTCTATGAACAAGTTCTAGGGTTTTTTGCAAACATTTTTTTAATTGACTTAAGGTTGGAAGAGGTTAGGAAAACCCAACGGCTTTTTCATCTTAGCCTGTTCTTCTGTCAGCCCTGTTCCCCTGGCTGCTGACAGAGCGGTGAGGTGGCTACTGCTGCTGCTAACCAGGTTGGACTCATGAGAGAGATAAAGGACTAGCCTTCTAAGAAGCTGTTTTTAGAGGTTAGGGAGCTACACTGGGCCAGTACTGAGAGTTGAATGAAGTGCAAGTTGCAGTGTATTGCCTTTTAGTTTGTACATCAGAGAAAGGCAGATGCTATAAGTACTTATTCCACCTTCTGTCCTTGGATGGAAGGTAGGGACAAGGGAAAGTTTAGTGCTTACCTAGTTCCCCAGAGAGAAGTTCATAATTCCATATGGAGGTGTTGCTGCCAGGATTGGGTCTTTTCCTGGATTTGGCTTACCAGTTGCTCTGTACCATGACTCGCCAGGTACCTCTATAATCTTGCTTGGGTTTCAGGTCCTTTATACTTGGAAGCAGAGAGAAGCCCACATGCTTCCTTCCTTCCTTGCAGCAGAAAAATACTGCTGTTTCTCCCTCCTATCCTCTCCAAAAGGGTTGCAGATGGTAGAAGCTCCTTTATTTCATTGGGTTCCACCCTACCTCTCAAGCTTCCTTAATATCTTGGTTCTTTTTGATTGATTGTCCTCCATTCCAGAGGTTGCCATTGATGTTGATAGCTGAACTCGACAGCACTGCACGCAAAGGTCTCCCCCGCCCCAGCTGGCATATTACCTTCTAGTGCCTATAGGGAAGGGCCAAGCCCAGCCTTCTGAGCTGGGTTCTTGTCGCTGTGGTGACTACAAATTCTATTCTTAGCCCAGCACAAAGTGCTGGATCTGCATGTGCCAGTGAGGTGGAGGTTGTCCCTTTTGGTGCCACTGTGGGGCCAAATAGGCACTGGGGAAAGGGGGCCCCTGGAGAATTCAGTCATGCCGCTCCAAGGGAAGAAATCCCCTAGGGAATGAGAGTAGGGCAGAACGCAAGTCACTGTAGGGAGTCTGCAAACAGTTTCATTTAATTAAAAACAAAAAAAAGGCCAGGCATGGTGGCTCATGCCTGTAATCCCAGCACTTTGGGAGGCCGAGGCAGGTGGATCACGAGGGCAAGAGATCGAGACCATCCTGGCCAACACAGTGAAACCCCGTCTCTACTAAAAATACAAAAATTAGCCGGGCCTGGTGGTGGGCGCCTGTAGTCCCAGCTACTCGGGAGGCTGAGGCAGGAGAATTGACTTGAACCCGGGAGGCAGAGGTTGCAGTGAGTCGAGATTGCGCCATTGCACTCCAGCCTGGCGACTGAGTGAGACTCCATCTCAAAACAAACAAACAAAAAATAAACCACAAAAAAAAGCCAGTAGTAAGCAGCAGCATCCAGCTCTGCTGGTGGCTCCCATGGCAGGCCTGGAGCGCTCTCCAGCCCCCTACTCAGCAGCCTCAGCAGCAGTTGCTAAGCCTACATCCAGGAGCCTCTGGGCTTGGTGTTCTCCAGAGACCCAAAAACTGGATATAGCAGGGGAGGAATCCCCTTTTCCTTTACCATGTCTTTTTCTAGTCAGTGCTATTACTTTGGGTTTGTTTTGGTAGAGTTGCTTGCCTACATATCTGTAGCTGACCTTTTCTTTCCTTCTCTGCCAGGTTTGAATGGGGATGTGAATGTTAATGGCTTATCTACTGTATCTCACACTACTACTTCAGGGATTTTGAACTCTGCTCCCCACTCCTCCAGCACCTCACACCTCCATCACCCCAGCGTGGCCTACGACTGTCTCTGGAACTACTCACAGTACCCATCTGCCAATTCTGGCAGCAACCTCAAGGACCCACCCCTTCTCTCCCAGTTCTCGGGGGGACAATACCCACTCAACGGCATCCTTGGGGGCAGCCGGCAACCTTCATCCCCAAGTCACAACACTAACCTTCGGGCTGGGAGCCAAGAGTTCTGGGCCAACGGTACCCAGAGTCCCATGGGGCTTAACTTTGATTCACAAGAACTGTATGATTCCTTTCCTGACCAGAATTTTGAGGTGATGCCCAATGGACCCCCTAGTTTTTTCACCTCCCCACAGACTTCTCCTATGTTGGGATCCAGCATTCAAACCTTTGCACCCTCCCAGGAGGTAGGCAGTGATATCCACCCTGATGAGGCAGCAGAAAAGGAGATGACTTCAGTTGTGGCAGAGAATCGCACTGGCTTGGTAGGCAGCCTGGAGCTGGAAGAAGAGCAGCCAGGTATAACTGGGTTGGTGAACTGGGTGGGGAAAGGGAAAATGGAGCTGGGGGGGATAGTGGCTTTTTGAGGTGAGGAAAACTTGTCTTTCCAGCTCTCTGCAGTGGAGGCTGATTTGCATGTTGGTGATTAGCAATTAGCAGAGCCAAGTGGCTGGTGTTTTTGTGGCAGCAGCACCAGCTCGGGAGTGGGAGTGCAAATTATTTCAAGCTCATGCAGAGCTTCTGGCCTGGAGAGGGCAGGTGGGCGAGCCCGAAACAGCCCCAACAGACACCCTGCATCAAGAAAGGCTTCTTTCAAAATATATGAAGTGGTTAGGGTCTAGCAGTGAGCATTGAGGCTGTTTTAACTAACTGTGGCAGGAGCAGACTGGCTGCTAAAGTCGTCTGAGCCCAATGTAGTGATTGGCATACGAAGGAGGGAAGGAAGCAGGCAGAGCATATCATTATTTGTCTACTCAGTTTCCTTTTTTTGTTGTTTAGCATTAGTACATGTGACAGCCCCTCTCATCTTTTCCCTCAAAATAGATAGAAGCTTAGCTTCCAGTTGATTCCTGATACAAGGGTAATCACCACTCTGTATAATTACAGGATGTTTTCTCTGTTTCCCACTGGATGGGGGAGATATCTGAGAACATGATAAAGATCTTATCTCAGACCCCACTCTCTTTTCCTCTCTTTGCCTGCTGTAGGATTGATTTTACCAGTACCTCTCTGCTCAGAGTATCTTGATGTGATCGGTTCCCAGCAAAGAACTGGCCGCAATAAATGTTGAATGAATGAACATCCTTCTAGCAAAGACTGACTGCCTAATATAGCTAAATGAACCAATATAAGGCACTGATTTTGACTTTTGGTCTCTCCTGGGATTTCCTAGAACTGAAGATGTGTGGCTACAATGGCTCTGTCCCTTCTGTGGAATCGTTACACCAAGAGGTCTCAGTCCTGGTCCCTGACCCCACAGTGAGTTGTTTAGATGATCCTTCACATCTTCCTGATCAACTGGAAGACACTCCAATCCTCAGTGAAGACTCTTTGGAGCCCTTCAACTCTCTGGCACCAGGTAGGTTTGGAGGCTGGCCCCGTTTAATTTATCCATGCACAGTAGCCAACCTTTACCTGAAAGAGACAGTAAAATGGGAAAAGTATTAGGGAATCCAGGGCATTGGGGCTTCCAGGTAGGCCTAAGGCAGACTACAGTTACATGCCACTGGCCTTGTTGCACTAACTGAACTCTGAGCTGAATTGGTTTATGTCCCAGGTTATTTCCCAGTATTACTTTTGGCCAAGAGCTCTGGGCTGTAATAATTCACTGGATAGGGACTTATTACCACACAGTTGATCTTTCTGGGTTCTAACAAACTAGGAAGGAAACATTTGTCAGTGAGCAGTTACCTTTTACCCCACTGAAGTACAAGAAAGACATATTTTATGATAAATCCTAGAATTTTGCATAGGTCTCTGGGTAGATAATACCACCAATGCCTTTCCTTCCATTTTCATCTTGTAGAGATGAGGTCTTGCTATGTTGCCCAGGCTGGTCTTGAGCTCCAGGCCTCAGGCAATTCTCCTGCCTTGGCCTCCCCTCAAACTTTTATGATCCCTACAATCTCATGACTACTCTTTCAGGGAGAAGGCTTTAGTTGTTACCTAATTTAATATTAGGAAGAATCTTCACACTGTGGGAACTAGAATTGGATATTTTCTGACCAGTGTTTCTTAAGTCTTGCTTTCTGATTTTTTTTCTCATTATCCTGCTCTGATTTTTCTACCCTTGTGAACAGAGCCAGTGAGTGGAGGACTATATGGTATTGATGACACAGAGCTAATGGGTGCAGAGGACAAGCTGCCTCTTGAGGACAGCCCTGTGATTTCTGCCCTTGATTGCCCTTCCCTCAATAATGCTACTGCCTTCAGTCTCCTGGCAGATGACAGTCAAACATCAGCCTCTATCTTTGCCAGTCCCACCTCTCCACCTGTCCTAGGGGAGTCTGTCCTGCAAGGTAAGTGAGGGTAGGTAGGACAAAGAAAGATGAGAGAATAAGTTTCACAGTTAGGGCCTTAAGAGTGGGAAATCTGACCGGGCGCAGTGGCTCACACTTCTAATCCCAGCACTTTGGGAGGCTGAGGCGGGCGGATCACCTGAGATCAGGAGTTCGAGACCACCTGGCCAACATGGTGAAACCTCGCCTGTATTAAAAATACAAAATTAACCAGGTGTGGTGGCACGCGCCTGTAATCCCAGCTACTTGGGAGGCTGAAGCAGGAGAATCGTTTGGTCCTGGGAGGTGGAGGTTGCAGTGAACTGAGATTGTGTCATTGCACTCCAGCCTAGGCAACAGAGCGAGACTCCATCTCAAAAAAAAAAAAAAAAAAGTGGGAAAGCACTTGCTGAAGCACTTGCTGGGAGCTGAGGAGCTATGGGATAGTGTATGGTGGGACTAAAAGAGGCACAGACTGCTATACTCTGACCTGTGCCCTCTGCTTTGAAGAGCTTGTGAGACTTGGAATTTGTAGGGAGAAGGAGGCCAGAGCCTTTACTGGCACCAGGTAAAAGGTATTTCTTCACACAGTGACATCTGTAGCATCTTTACCCTTTAATCTTCGTGATTGGTTGGGAGAAAAAGCTGCTACTTTTTCCAACCCTAGGGAAGACCCCTTGAAGTAACCCTGTTTAGCTTGGTCCAGGTTTGACTGAGTAGATTCTCTTGTTTTATGTGATGCCTTTTTTTTTTAAAGCCTATCCTGTCCCTTTGGATTCTAGATAACAGTTTTGACCTGAATAATGGTAGTGACGCTGAACAGGAGGAAATGGAAACTCAGTCTTCAGACTTCCCACCATCTCTGACCCAGCCAGCTCCTGATCAGTCATCCACTATTCAGCTACATCCAGCAACCTCACCAGCAGTCTCGCCAACAACCTCCCCAGCAGTCTCCCTAGTGGTTTCTCCAGCAGCCTCCCCAGAAATCTCTCCAGAAGTTTGTCCCGCAGCTTCTACAGTTGTCTCTCCAGCAGTCTTAGTGGTCTCTCCAGCTTCCTCAGCAGTCCTCCCAGCAGTTTCCTCAGAAGTCCCCTTGACGGCTTCAGTGACATCCCCAAAAGCCTCTCCTGTAACTTCCCCAGCAGCTGCCTTTCCAACAGCCTCCCCAGCAAGTAAGGATGCCAGCAGCTTCCTAGAAACCACTGCTGACCTGGAAGAGATCACTGGAGAGGAACTCACTACTTCTAGTAGTGGTGAGTATCCAGATTCTATTCTATCCCTGTCTGGTTACAAGAAACTTTTCTGTCCCATGTTGCAGTTAGCCTTTCCCTGCTTTTCTATTGTTTAAATATTTTGCTTGAACTCTTAACTTGGGTATCCCTTCCTCCCAAGGTGATGTCATGAGGAGACGTATTGCTACCCCAGAAGAAGTTCGTCTTCCCCTCCAACATGGGTAAATGCTCTAGTTTGCTACATTTATTGACCTTGACAAGTTTAATGCACAACTCTAGAAAGAAGGGAATGCCTCTTTTCCTCTGAGATGGGGGAGGAATGAGCCATACAAGAGTAGATTACAGGACAGTTATCTGCAGTGATAATGTTTCTTGGCATGAGATTCCTAGGTTTTCCGTCTTCTCTCAAGGTCCATCTTCCATCACCTATTCTTTCTTCATCTTGTAGTGACTCAATTTTGCCCAAGGAGCTCCAGCTATTATCTTTTTCAAACCCTAGGGCTTACATCCAAACTAGCTGACTTGTCCTATTTCTGTAGAGAAGGGATAGTAATGAATGAGGAGCGACTTAGTACTAATGAATTGAGGTGGTTTTGTTGTTTTAATGCTCTTAGGAGAGGTGAGGGCAGGAGCAGTACATGACCAAAATGAACAAACTAGCTGACACCAGGGCCTTGTGGAAATAACTGCCTTCCTGGATCTTCCCCACCCCTCCCCTTCAAGGCTACCTGTGGTCACCAAGTCTGAGTACTGCTTAAAATTTTGAGAGAAAGATTAGAGTTAGTCTTAGAATAATATTGCTCAGAACACAGAGTTCCTAACTAAACCCTGGCATATTGAGTCTTTTCATGGAGTCAGCAGCAAATTTACTTTTCTGCTTGCCTCCCTGTCCTTTGTCTTCTGCTTTTATTCCCCTTAGGTCTTTATCCTCTTTACTGGAAATCCAGTAACTGCCCTGAATGGCTCAGGGAGGGGTTTCTGACTGCTTATCTCACTGATTTTTTAAAGAGGGGTGGAGATCTCTGAGCTTGTGCAGTTTGGTATATTGCTTTTCTCCTAAGGACCTTGGTGTATTTGCTGGAGCTTAAGTCAGCCTTCTATCCAAGCTTATCTCTGTTGGTGCTTTTGCATCTGCATGCAGTTCTAGAGATACAAATGTGGGGAGGGCCATCTGCTCAGAGGGCTTGGCTCTTAGGTGGCATGGGAGTGGGTAGGGGTGTGACCTGGCGGCAGGGCCCATGTGCTTCTCTGGCAGGTGGCGGAGAGAGGTGCGCATCAAGAAGGGCAGCCACCGATGGCAAGGGGAGACCTGGTATTATGGCCCCTGTGGGAAGAGGATGAAGCAATTTCCAGAAGTGATCAAGGTAATGTAGCTTTTTTTTAAAGGATTCCTTTCTTGGGCTCAGTGGACTCCTTTCCACTGCCTAAGACTCCGTTCTTGGGCTCAGTGGCAACAGGCTGCCATTGTCTGCTCTGGGTCTGTTCTGCTTGAGCCTTTGCTGACCAAATACATGGTAGGATTCCAGCTTTATTAATGTTACTTTACTTCCTCCTCTTAGTACCTGAGCCGCAATGTGGTACACAGTGTCCGCCGTGAGCACTTCAGCTTCAGTCCCCGTATGCCTGTTGGAGATTTCTTTGAAGAAAGAGACACGCCAGAGGTGCAGACCTAAGGGTTAAATATGCTTTTGTCCCTGAGGATGAGTTGGTGGACAAGCTGCAGCTTCCTCTTGTGGGGTTTGAAGGTTCTGGGGCATTGAATGGTTCCGAGGGTCTAGTGGCCTGCACCGATTCCTTCTTACTGTAACAGTCTCCCTTGCTACCTTAGGGCTTGCAGTGGGTGCAGCTCTCAGCAGAGGAGATCCCATCGAGGATTCAGGCAATTACTGGCAAACGGGGTCGACCTCGAAACACTGAGAAGACTAAGACTAAGGAAGTCCCCAAGGTGAAACGGGGCCGAGGTCGGCCACCTAAGGTCAAAATTACTGAGCTGTTGGACAAGACAGACAACCGCCTCCTAAAGAAACTGGAGGCCCAAGGTACAGTGGTGTTTCTTACTTTGGAATTCGGCTTCCTCCGTGAGGTATCTAAAATGTTGATGAATTGCTAATACCTGGATTTCCCAGGAGCGTGATTAACATTATCTGGGAAGAACGAATCTGAATGAGCTTCTCTTTGGAATCCAGCATCATAGTCCCAGCGCTTGGGAATGCTTCTTTTCCAGCCATACTCTTTCTTGAGTTGCTGCTACCAGTGAAACCTTGGGCTGTCCCCAGATGTGTTTAGCCCAGAGGAGAGGACTTCCTTGCCCTTTCTTTCCATCTTTTAGCTCCTTATCTTATACTGGTTCAGTTGTACCCTCCTACCTTACTCATTTTTACGATCATGGAAGTTCAGAATTCACATCTGAATTTAAAAGATAATTGGGAGCCAGGCATGGTGGTGTGTGCCTAATAATCCCAGTTACCTAGGAGGCTGAGGCAGGCAGGAGAGGATCACTTGAGCCCAGGAGTTTGGAGGCTGCAGTAAACTGCAGTTGTGTTATTGCACTCCAACCTGGGCAACACAGCAAGACCCTGTTTCTAAAAAAAATAATAGGCCGGGCACAGTGTTTCACGCCTGTGATCCCACCCCTTTGGGAGGCCAAGGCAGGCAGATCATGAGGTCAAGAGATTGAGACTATCCCAGCAAACATGGTGAAACCCCATCTCTACTAAAAAAAAAAAAAAAAAAAAAAGAAATTAAAGCTGGCGTCTACGGTGGTTGGCTGCCTGTAGTCCCAAGCTACTCCTAGGAGCGCCTGTGAAGGGCTCATTCTTAAATAGGAGCGAATAACTTGAAACCCCGGGAGGCAGAGGTTGGTGAGCTGAGATCTGCACCATTGCACTCCAGGCCTGGGCACAAGAGTGAAAAAACTCCAATTCAACTTATA